TACCCTATACCTATTAATGCCTAAAAGTTTAAAACAAAAAATACTTTAGAAGACAAACTACACGACGAATGTGAGAGCTATTTAAATAAAGAAATTAAAWCAGGAAAATKTTTAAATAATAAAGTAAAGAGTCTGAAATAGTTAWTAATTTATTATTTATCATAAATTGTATATTTTAAATACCTGCTAGTRTATTTGTATATGTACTTAATTGTGTTTCTCGTTCATTTTGATTGGTAACATCACATTTTTGTTTTTAATATATTATTCAAATTTAACTTGTTGACGATGGTGATTTATCAAAACTATATAAACATTGTAAATATTTTATGACCCTTGAAAATAAAATTTTTAAGAGTACTTACCAGTATTCTTCGTAGCAGTATTTCGTACCTACGCGTACCAGTATTTCTTTTGTTATAAATTCTATGGACCGTACTAAAATTCCGACAATCACTTTATGTATTCTCGCATAAATTATAAATTAAGTTTTTTCCCAAAATACACGCATATTACAATAGGTATATTATACTGAACAAATTTAAATTGTTAAGTAAAATAGGAACATATATATATAACATGTTAAATTTGATTATAATTATTATGTATTATAATTCTATTAATTATTATATTATAATGTTTAACTTTTATTTTTGTAGAATTAAAATTCCACATTTCTCCACAGTAATTATTTTATTTGAATAAAGCCRCTTTACATTCAAGTTGAAGACGCAAATATAAGATATTAACAACCAATAAATTGCATAAAAATTTATCATTTGAAGTATTAGAATATTTAAAGTAATTTAAATTTTAAATCTATCGGTTGCAATGAATATGATGATTCTTTAGTAAAATCCATTACAGAATTTATTTATAATGTAGCAAGAATTGTGCATGTATTATAGTAAACACAGATAGGAAAAACAAATAAAAATCAAAAAAATCTATCCAAGTATTCAAAATTATCATCTTTATTTCTTTATATAATTAATAATAATTATGCACTTATTGCACTTGACTATAAAAAAACAAAAAAAATGTATTAGATTCTGAGAAGAGCAAGGTATGTATTTTATTTTTTTATTTTTTATTTATATTAAGCCTCGGCGTCAAAGGGGTGCGACTCGTTTGCGCACACATATTTTAGGTTTAAATAATAAAGGTACAACTCGTTTGCGCATATTTCCCTTCTTTTGCTTAATTATAATTAACTAATAGACTGTATAAAATAATAATATATAT